TGAGAAATTTTCTTCTGCTGTCCAGATGGAATCCCTGCTGAAGCAAATCCTGCCTGTGGTCTCTTGTCCTTTCACCGTGCATCCTTGTGAAAACTACCTCTTACCTTCCACGTCACTGCCTTTTAGGTACTGGAAGATGGTGAGGAGGTGTCCCCAAGCTGCCTCTTCTAGGCTGAACAAATAAAATCTCATCACAGTGTCAGGTTCTCAGCCTTTTAATCTTAGTAGCCCTTTGCTAGACTCTCTCCAGTTCTGCAGTGCTCCCCTTAAACTGGAAGGGGGTGATGTGGCCCTGGACACGGTGCCGCAGGTTTGCGCCAACGAGTGCGGAGCGGAATAATCACAGCCCTGGGTCTGCTGGCTGTGTTCTTCCTGCTGCAGGCCAGGACACAGCTTCCCTTTGTTGCTGCAGGCGCACGCCCCTGGCTCTGGCACAGTTTTCTGTCCCTCCCAGACTCTGCCTCTTCCTGTCCATGTACTCTGCCGAGTCTGTTCAGAGTGCACCGCAGCCTCGCGCTCCAGGGCTCCGTGCTCCGCTTCACCGCGCTTTGTGTGATTCATGTTAGCCCAGTCGAGGTCTCTCTTCATGGTAGCCCTTATTTCCAGCACACCTACCTCTCCCTACCAGTTGGGTGTCATCTGTGAAATTTTCATCCAGCTAGCGTAAAGATAATTAAATCGTATCAGACCCAATATCAACCCCTAAGGAGTGCTGCGTGTGACCAGCTGCCTGTTCAACTTCAAGCCTCTATCCACTACCATTTGAGGTTGGTAGTTCAGCAGATTTTCCATTCATCCTGTGGTGGTTCTCTCTGTTCTGTAGCTTACCAGCTTGTTGGCAAGGATGTGGTTAGGTCTTGAGTGCTTCACTGAAAGAAAGGTACAGGGCAACCCCAGCGTTCTCTTCCACCACTGAGCAAGTTATTTAATTTAAAAAGGTAATCATATTGGTCAGGCACATCCTACCTATGGTAAATCCATGCCAACTTTTTCCATTTCCCTTGTTCTTCCTGGGATTTCAGAGAAAACAAAATCTGCTCTTAGGGAAAAGATATCTCTCCTGTATGTTTAGATGTTGAGTCTCAAGGTAGGATTATAACCTAAAAGATGATGGGTGTGAGAGTGACTGCTCTTGATTTTGGTGTGTGGTAAAAAGTCTTCTAAAAGCTTCTAGTGCCATTTAAAGGTTCTGCTCATCTCAGGGGAAACTGGGTGATTCTCCATTGTTTCATTGAATTATTTATTTTATTTTTAGGTGGAGCTGCTGGTGATGAAGGCTCTCTCGGTAGGCTTGGTAAAGGGCAGTATTGATGAAGTCGATAAGAGGGTGCACATGACGTGGGTACAGCCACGTGTGTTGGATTTACAGCAGGTAATGACCAGCTTGAATATTAAGGCAGTACTAACTTGTTTTGTTGTGTGAGGTGACCTGGAAATTAAAATAAGAACTGTGAAGGGTCACTGTCTGAGAATGTTTCCTTAGTGCTTCTCAAAGATGCTCAGGGAACAATGAAGTATATCAGCTTTTCCTCATGCCTTTTTATATTGCTGCCTTTAGCTCTTACCTTGGGTATATGGTGCGTTTTGCATCTGTGTTTTGCAGTAAGTAGTTAGAAACGTGTCAGGAGATAGAACAGGCTTTCTGAAAGCCACACAAACTACCATAAAACACAAATGCTGTGTCTGTTTTCTGGAAGAAAGGAGACATCTGTGTGGCTGCTTCAAGCCTAAATGCATGAAACAAAATCTTGGTGTTTCTGGGTTGTGGGTGGCACACTTTCCTTGAGAAGAGAGAAGTTCAGGGTGATAAAGGCAAAGGTGCTGAGCTCAAGGTCATTCTCGTAACATTTTGAGAGACTGTATAGGGGGTGGTTTTACCTTAAAAAAAAAAAAAAAATAGCACACGGAATACTAGCTGCAAACAGTTCCTTTTGCGCATTTCAATTTAACTTTAAACATTTCTGGCTTGATGGTAAAAGATGTTAAGTACCATCTTTTCTAGATGTGTGGGGATTTGAGATGCTGTTGGGGATCTCAGATGTTTGTCCTTGATGGTGAATACCGGTATTTCCAGTAGACAAGGCACTGAAGTTATTGTGGGCTTGCCTTGCAGATCAAAGGAATGAAAGACCGGCTGGAGTTCTGGTGCACAGATGTGAGGAGCATGGAGATGCTGGTGGAGCACCAAGCTCATGACATCCTCACATAGAGGACCCTGCACTACCCCGGGAGAGTAATTGCTGCTGACAGGAGCAGCACTCAGACCACTGACTCTGTACTGAATTCTATTGAAGGGGGGTGGGTGGGCAGAGGGGAGAGCAGCTTTTTGACGCTTGTTCGGAGGAGTAAGTGGCCTTTTGCTGTGTAACCCTTTGGTGCTTGGAGTCAAGATTTCCCTCTGCGCTAACATGAGTGGCACTGACCGCGAGAGCTCCCATCCTGCTCTCCTAAAAGGCAGACAAAGGCTCCGCAGTGGTGGATTTATCAGTCTTGTCAACAGACCGTTGAGGGGGGATGTGATGCTGTTTGCCAGGTAGAGGGGTAGCAGAAGCCCCTTTGAGGAGGGGCCTGACCACTCTACGTGCTGTTACGTAGTGGTGTTGGCCCTAGGAGGGTGTGACCTTCCCCAGCGGCCTCCCCCCTGCCCCTGCAGCAGCCCAGAGGCAGCATTACTGAAATCATCTTTCTCCTTTCGCCCTCTTTCTCCACAACCCCTCCTCCTCATCTGCAGTAGAGGGAGTGTTTACTCCATCAAAGGGTTTTCTCCAGGATAACCGTTTAGTGGATGTGTTTTTATATACTTTTGGGGGTGGTTGTCTTTTACGAACACTTTGTGCTAAAGTGAGGTGCAGCAATATTGCTGGAATAAACTTCTCTGCCTTCCCTTTTCTGTAGTTCTGTTTGTCATCTTCATAACTTGCAGTTGAGCCTCAGATCTATTTAAAAATAGACCTCTTAAGTTTCATGTTACAAAAACCCTCTGTCCAAGAACAACAGATTTAAACAGTCTGTTTATCACCAGTGGGATTAGTATGTAATTTACTTAGCATGTAGTACCTTGGTATGTACTTTATTGTCAAGTTCCTTTCTTTTGTGGGAAGCTGTAATCCTGATGCCTTCTCTCAAGCTGAGTAAACATCACTGGCTGAAAAGGCCTAAATAAGGCCTGGGACAATGAGGTTTTGAGCTGATTTTTCCTCTTAACTGCCACTTTAAAAGCTTTCTGTAATGTAAGTGTGTTGCCCTGCTGCGATGTCTTTATAGGGATGGAAGGTAATTGTGCACATGGAGAATTTGAAACGTGCCGATCTGAACTGGGGACTACCTCCAAGTATCAGTTTGGGTGTAGAACACTCCTAATTACAAGGTGGTAACAGCAAGCTACATGAGGTTTTGTGATAGTAGCTTTAAATCCAGCAGTCATATTCACCTGCCTGGCTAAATTCCTCAGCATGTAAGTGGGTGTTTTAAATGCTGCTGCCAGTGTGTCCACGGTCAGCTCCTGCTTCGCAGCGCCAGTTTGGTTATGCTGTGATTCAAGAGCTCTAGTTACCGGTTTGATCCTCTGGTGTCACTCTAACAAGCAGTATTACTGGGACTGGTATACTTTGCATGCTTTTTCTAATTTGCTGTCTTGACTCTGAGGGTTCAATGTCAGCAACAGAAAAAAAGAAAGCACGTGGCTGACACCAGATTGCTGTGCAGGTGCAAAGATGTCTCAGGCAAGGGAGACTTAGGATTTTTAAAAACAACAAAAAAAATCAAATTGTCGGACCCTGTACCTGGTCACCCTCCACCCTTCTGTTCTAATGAGTTCTGGTCTGAATTTCTTTCTGGTTTGGAGCGGTTCAGTTCCGAATGCCTGCCTCTTCCCTGTCCAGCCCATCGGTTTTATTGTTTTGCTCTGCCCTTGTTAGTTCAGCCATTGGACTCTGCGTTGAACCATGTGGTTTTCTCCTCCTGTGTTGTCCAACTTGACTTTCCCCAGTTTGTCTTGTCTTCCAAAGCTCGTTCTTGATGTTGCTTTTACTGACTTTAGAAGAGCATGCGGAGGAGGCAAGAGTTCTGATCAGGAAAATGTTTCCTTTTATTTCATAGCTAAGGACAGGAAAAAGGCTTTAAAAACTACAATCTCCTTAGTAGTGCCATGTCACTACACGTTAGGAGTAAACAAAATGCCAAGCATGTGACAAAGCTAATGCATTGTAGGGCTGCTGTTGCTTTAGATGAGCAACAAAAAAAACACTGAAGCATTTAGTACAATTGAAATGGCACTGAAGTCTTTTCCTGGGAGTATTTTGAGAACCCTCTCGCACTGTGGGGCGTGTGTAAATCTCTGAGCTGCTCGCTGAAGTGAGTCTGAACATCTGCAGTCTAGGTGAATTATGACAATTGTTTCCAAGGTTTTTTCCAAGGTATCACAGGATGCTTTGGGTTGGAAGGGACCTTAAAGCCCCTCCAGTCCCACCCCCCTGCCACATGCAGGGACACCTTCCACTAGACCAGGTTGCTCAAAGTCCTATCCAACCTGACCTTCAACACTTAAATATCTGGAGATATTACTTGCTGCCTGAACCTTCCTGTGTGGGAGCGAGTGCTGGCTGTCTGCTTCCCTAATAATGCAAACAATTTAGGGAATTTGGCGTGTGTTTGTGAGGTGGAAATGTTCTTCATGCAAGAAGAAAAGTCAGGTGTGTAGCACCCAGACTATGGACCATTTTAAATGTCGTTTACATCCTTTGAGTATTTTCTTGCTAGGAGTTTAACCTGACTTTGCTTTCTTGCTAGAGCTGTGAGCGGCTCCTTGGTATCTGCCCTATGCTTTGCTGCAGCTGTAGAAGGTAAAAGCTCCAGTGGGAAACGCACATCCCTGCTGGAGCCTGCTGTGGGCCCACGAGGGAATGCCACCAGCGGGACAGCGTGCAGGCTGGCAGAGAGGATTACAGATCCATTCCCCTACGAACAAGCACGGGGTTGAAGCGAAACCAACAAGCCATTACGCTGAATGCCAGTGAGAATTTTAATGAACAAACTCAGGGGGTTCCTTCCCGGTGAAGATCCGTGGTCAGATCTTCACTCATACTTCTGCTCTCGACGGGGTGCAGGTGGTTCTTCCCGCTGCCTAATCTGATCTGCTCTTGTAGTGCTCCAGGTGTGACAGGATCCAGGCTGCCGGCAGCAGGCAGCACGCAGTCATCACGGAGAAGGCGATGGCCTGGTCCTGACGGTGGGAGGACAAACAGGAGAGGTAGTGGGATGGCTGCCCGAGGGGGGGCCGCGGTGTTTGTGGGGTTCCTGGGGCGGTTGCACATCGGTGCTGTGTCTAACACAGTGGATCAAGGGCACTTGTCTGTGCTCCTTGTGCTTTCCAGCCCCGCGGCTGGTGGACGGACACCACGGGGCTGGGGGAGGGAGGTCGGGGTGGGCACAGCAGCTTCCACCAACACTGGACAGAGCTCGGTGTGTATCTGTCCTGATACTCCCTGGGAAACCGGAGAAACTTGTGACCTTCAGTCAGCAGCGAGGCTTGTTGGGCTCGTGGTGTTTCCAAAAGCAGCTGTGCCTGACTTTCAGATGACTTTGAGGTGTGAACTGCAACCAGCAGCAGCCTCTTATTTCTGTTGCAGCAGGCCAGCACTTAACCCCTTGCACTGTCACCGTTTTTTTGTTTTTTTTTTTTTTTTTTAATTTGGCTAGAAAAAGTCTCCAGGCTCATGAAGCACTTTGTTGCAAACCTTGGAAAGGCAGCAAGGGCTAAATTCCACTAGCGAGGGTTGGAGGTGAAACCCAGCTGGTATTTCTGGAGAAAAGCTCCTTTTTCCAAGCCCATTTCACCCAGCCCAGGAGGGTCTCTGCAGCTGGAGCAGCTCCTGTTTCGGTGAGGATCGTCCCCAGAGGGAGGGGTGACGGAGGGACCTACATGTGATGATGGCAGACCCCATCCTTGCCCGCAGGGACACCTGCTTTGGGGTGAGTGTCCCATCAGAGTGGGGGTACAGGGCCCAGGTCTGGCCCTATGCTGACAGGGTGCCTTGAGGCACTGCCACCTCCTCCCTGAGATCTCGGGCTGCCCCGTGGCTTGGGGTGCAGGGGACCCTCAGCAGGTACCTTCGACCCAAAAGCTTAAAAAAGGGGCTGAAAGGAGAAAACAAAATGGAAGCAGGAGCCTGAACAGGGGGATCAGGACCTGCACCCCCTATGGGAGCGCAGTCTGGAGCTTGCACTGCTCCAGGGGCACCTTTCCTCCTTTTTTCTCCCTTCTCCCCTTTTGTTTTCACTCCCAATAAAAATAATGTGTGTATAATACAGAGGTGGGGTTTGTGTCCCTCCGACCAGGGTGTCCCCAGGGAGCATGTGCCCGCCCCCCGCTCCCCTTTTCTGACCCCCCCAGGTACTCACGGCAGCAGAGAGTGGATGTTTAGGTGGCTTGGAGGTGATGTGTGCCCGGGGGCCCCAGGGGGTCCGCAGCACGGCGGCCAGCAGCCGGGAGCCCCGCTGAAAGCCCTGCATGACGAGCGTGCAGCTCCCTCACTGCAGCCAGGCTGCAGCTGTCATCCCCCCCCCTGCCACCCCCCGGCACGGGGCCTGCTGCCCTCCCAAGGGCACGCCAGCAGGAAACCCTAAAACAGCAAGGCTTTCCCAAATTGCTCGCTTTTTTTTTTTTTTTTTTTTTTTTCCCCTTAAGCTTTTTTCCCCTTTTCCTAAGCAGCACCACCTCCCTGCACCTCTGAGGTCAAAAATAGCGTCCCCAGCCAGCAAGGCAGGATCTCTCTATGATGGTCTGATGGAGAACAGACCTATTATCTCAGGCTTTTAAAAATTTCAAACACTCGAAAACACAATGTACTTTTTTTTTTTTTTTTTAAGCTGTTGCAGACATGATGGCTGCTCTCTGATCGCAGTGACCAGGACCTTGCTTGTCCTGTCCCTGGCGATGGCTTCTCCATCTTCCTTTGCAGCTCGGTGTTTGCCCAGGCTCCTCCTCTCGTGGTGGTATCCATCCAGCAAGCCCATCGGCCACGGACCATCGAAGCTGCTGACAAGTCTGGCGATGGTGTTTGAGCAAGTTGGGCTGGAGTTTGCAAAAGCAACTTCCAACTTGCCCCGGCCTGAGAGCAGAAGTGGCTGACAGCCTTGAGCCTGGGTCTTGTTCCTCCAAAGCATGGATGCTTGTCAGTAGGAGAAATAGTGCCCTTTTGACTCCAGCACGTGCCCGCCTTGCTGAACAGCCCAGCTGTGTTCTCCTCTCCTTTAAAAACAGCTCTGCAGGAAGTTTGCTAGGATTTGTAAGGATCTGCTCAGAGTTCTCCTTCCTGGAGTTGGGAATGCCACCCGGCTCTCCGTGCAGCTCTTAGGGCTTCATGGTTGCATCAGGATTGTGTGTGGTATGAGATTGGGTCTTGTCTTTAGAAGGTCAGAGCTTTTTTCCCAGAACAACTGTCTTGGCAAGTGCAGGTTTTTACCTTAATAATGTCATGATGGGCTGTGTGGACCATGACTGGTCAAGCACATGTTTGTTGATGAAAGATGACTGCTGAAATTTAAAAGCAGTAACAGAATCCTCTTACCTTATATCTGCCACTTGCAGCTGGCTTTCCAAAGGGTTTCCCTTTGATTCCCTGCTCATCAGAGCCTTCTTCCAGCCAGCTGACAGTAATCTCTCTGTGCAACAGACACAAAGTCAGGGGTGGTGGAGCCTCCAACAGTAAAGATTTTTCTTTTGAGCCATTTCATAAAACATCTGCCTCTGTGAGACAAGGGAAAGGAATAAGTGACCTCCAGGAAACCCCTCCAAGATGACATCTCATACTAATGTATTTCCTCCCTAGCCTTAGTTGATTTACTAGAGCAAACCCATGTTCCTCTGTGTCTCTTTATGGTGCTTTTAGTGGTAGAAATACTGACCTATTGTCATTGGCAGCAGCTCTTCTTTCTTCTCCTTGTCAGGACGAAGCATCCAGGCAGCAACTGTCTCCCTCCCTCTCTTGCCCCAGCTGCCTGTGGGCTGGGAGCGGTTCTAGCTCTGGTTCTACTCGTCCAGACCAAATGATGAAGGACCTGCCCACTCAGGGAGCTTCTGGAACAGGAGCTCCAGTGCCCACGTGCACTGCCAGCACCGATTTGGGGAGAGGACAGGAAAGGCTTTGAGATGGCAGAGATGTGGGATCAAGTGACAGGAGGGTCTGGGAGCCTCCATCTTCTAGTGGGCATTGGCAAGTGAGTGGAGGCAAGTCTGGGACCAGGGGGAAATTTAGTTCCACAGTAATTTGCTCTTTTTATTTTTCAAAATTTTCACCCTTCTGAGCTTGGTTTTCTAACTCAATACTTCTGTGCTGTCCTAGACTTCGGTGTTTGGCAGGGAGTGAAAGTGCCTACGGAGGGGCCATCACCTCCCTTTGCCAAAGGGCATGACGTGGGGTGAATTTTGGCTGTTGCATTCAACAGTTTTGGGATCTGCTTTTTGGCTCGCCTGTGACACAGGGCAGTAGGAGCTCCCTGCCAGCTCCAAAAAGGTCTGCAGGGAAACGGGCAGCCTGAGCCTTTGCCGTGGTCAGAGGACGTGTGTGAGTGTGGCTGGCTGTCCTGAGGACTCGTGCCGGTCAGACTGGGTCAGGGATCCCTTCGGGAAACCATGTGGCAGTGGGGCGAGGAGCCTGCTGGGTCCCGGGGGTGCTGGGTCCCGGGGAAAAAGGCAGCTCTGTCTGTAACTGGGCTTTGGAAGCGACAGGAGACGTTCGGGGCTGGACGCCGGGGCGGAGGGCTCGCTGACACCGGTGCGGAGCCCGGGGAAGGGTGCCGCAGGGCGGGCAGAGCGGTCACGGGAAGGAGGAGGGGAAAAGCGTGCCAAGGCTGGGGTCCGGATCTGTTCCCCCAAAAGCAGGCGAGGAGAAGGGTTAGAGCATGGCTGGGGACGGAGGGCGGTTATTGCCCGAGGCTCCGGCTGCGGGGGTGTCTGTGCTGCTCCCCCCAAGACCACCCGCAGCTCTGCTCTGGGGCCGCTGCTGCATTTCTCAGGCAGCTTTGAGATGATAAATGATCAGAAATTGGGTTTTCTCTCTCGGTTCCTCCTTCTCCAGAGAGCAGGGCAGCCCCAGGACCTCTGCACTCCCCACTGTGGGCAATGACCTCATCTGAGCAACCAGCTGCATGTCAAGATTTATTTTTCTATTACTCTTATGTAATTTTTTAAGGAGGGAAAAAAAAAAATTTCCTTCCTTCCTTTCTCAGTTGGGTAACTTCCGTCTTTCCCCCCTGCACGGGACCTCCACAGCAGCAGCCTCTGCCTGCTCAGCCAGAGTTCAGCCTCAGACCAAAGGCAAGATCTAACCTCCTCACTTTCTGCACTGTTTTTTTTTGTTTTTTTTTTTAATTTTCCTGAGGGCAGGAGGAGCGTTTTTCTCACAATTCAATCTCGGGAACTTCCTGGCGTGAGGAAACTGAGCCAACCCCGAGAGCTGCTGGCGGCCAGCTGCTATCGGGGAGGGATTTTAGGGGCTGCCAGCCTGGGCTGGGCATGCTCTCACTGCTCTCGTGCTGCCCCAACTGGCTTTCCAGCTCTGCTTGGAGAGTCTCTCCATGCCTTTTCTGTTTCTATATTATTCTGGTCCTTAGCATTTCCAGGTACCAGCTACAGCTCCTTTTTGTAATGTGCTGTTCGTATGTGTCTATATGTGTATATATATTTAATATATAGTCATATATATCTTTATATATTATATATAAATACATCTTTTAATATATTTTTATATATGTATATATCAGTGAAGTAAAAAGCTCCTGCCCCAACAAGCTAGTAACTGAAGCTGAGCTAGAGGTGCAAGAGTGCGCAGGAGCACAGGGGTATAGTGAGCTGGGAGTTGGGGAGCTGCCACGACCACAGAAAAGTATTTAATGGTGTCACAGAATAGTGGTGGGAGGAAGAGGAAGAAAGAAGAGGAAGGTGGCTGCGTTGTATTGGGAGAAGGTGGTGAGATCCTGTCACGGAGAGGTTGAAATTGGGGAAGCGACAAAGCCAAAGAGTCGGTGTGGTCTGGGAGAGCTGAGGAACTGCCTCGCTTGGCTGGGGGGGGGCTGAGGGGAACGGTGAAGGGGGGAACGGAGACCTGCCCCGGGCGTGGGGGGAACGGAGACCTGCCCCGGGCGTGGGGGGAACGGAGACCTGCCCCGGGCGTGGGGGGAAAGCCCGGGTGGAGGAGGGCTGCTGGCTGAGGTGCTGGTGGTGATCAGAAGGGAGACTGAAAGAAATGGGGACCCCAGGAGCGTAATGAGGCTGGGGGCAGGCAGGTAGCCAGCTTTCCTGATGACTGGGGGGTTACAGAGGGAGAAGCAGCTTGCAGCCCCCGCTTTCGGCTGGCGTCCAGCACGACCACGCTCGGCCTGCCCCGACTTTGTCCGTCCGACCCTCGTACCTGACTCCCTCGTCCTGCAGCTCGGGTTGGTGCAAATGGCTGATGGCGAAGAGGACCCGGCCGTGTTCACCTCCACTTCTCTGCCCTCGGACCCACGGCTGCTGGCTACGGTGACTAACGCTTACCTGGGCACCCGGGTCTACCGGGACATCCTCCACGTCAACGGCGTGTACAACGGGGCCGCGGGAGACACGCACCGTGCCGACATCCCCAGCCCCGTCAATGTTAGGATGACGGTGCCCGGTGCGGACAGCCTGGCTGAGACCTTCACCTTGAACACCCGGACGGGTAACAGCAGAGCACAGGCAGCAATCTCCCCTGCCCTGCTGCCTTCTTCCAGATCTTTGCCTTGAGCGCCCATCGCTCCTTCCCTTTAACTGCTAGTGACCCTCTTCTAGAAGTTAAAAGTCTCTTTGCCTGTGTTGCCTCTTCTGCAAAGTCGCATCTTTCTTCTCCCCATCCTCCGTTCACCTGTGGGGTGGTGTTCTTCTGAAGTCATGTTGGAGCAAGTGGAAAATTCCCCTTTCTTGTGAGAATAAGAGCACTTTTCAGACTGTACCTTAGTCCCTGCTGGAGCCAGGCTCGGCAAACGCTGTATAATCACAATGCCTGATAAAATGTTTTATAGCACAAATCATTCCTCAGTGGCTTGACCAGATTCAGTGTGTTAACAGTGTTGTCCTGTCAAAAGTTGTGTTTGGATCTGGACCTGGGAAAAGCGGTTCCTCTGCCAGTAGGAACCAGCAGATAGGGCAGAAATGGGAGTCTGGGACAGAGCATCAGGACCAGATGTTTCAAAAGGCTGATGGCCCTCGTTGTGCTTACAGGAACCTTCAGCCATGTGCTTCAGACAACTGATTATGCAGCCACCCAGCAGATCTTCGCTCACCATTCCCTTGTTCACTTGATGGCCTTCAGCATCACCATCCAGCGATCAGCTCACACCACCCAACCCATCACAGTCCAGCTCCAGACCCCTTTTGTGCCAAAGAGCCAGGACTTGGACCTGAACCGAGGACCAGACTTCCAGGGAGCACAGTGAGTTTGGATCATGGGGTGACCTTGCCCAGAACATGTCCTTCATGGGCTGTTGCACGCTGCCCTGCTCACTGTAAGGAGATAA